CTCATTCATTTTGAAGCAAATTTGGTTCCTAGACTTATTTTCATACGTACCGTTTTCGCGTAAAAAAATAAAAACCAAACCAAACCAAATTTTGTTCCTTCAGTTCTTGGATATTGTTTTTGATATTTCAGTAGACACCCACTTTAAGTGGAAACACATTTTGTTTTGGGACGAAAATCAATAAACTTTCACTTTTACCAGTGATGTCCTCGTAGACCTGATATTGAATGTTTAGTTTAAACATAAAATTAGATCTATATGGTTTAAATAAACGCTGTACGCTTCTGATTTCAACACCCTGTAGCTCAAAAACTAAGAGGTTCAGTACATATCTTGATATGAACTTCTCTCCTTAAAATCATCCAAGGATCATCGCCCTTTATATAGGCTCAGCATTCATCAATTATGAAACACCCTGTTCATAACTGTTTCACAAATACTTTAGAGTGAGAGGAGACGAGGAACTGTCCGTACCCTGTTAAGATGACAAATACGTCAATTTACATCAAGGGACCCTAGTCGTTACCACCGATAAAAAACAGTCCAGCTGCCGCTGAACGTAGCCCCGCGGATCTTGTTTTTGTACTAGATTAGTGTTAATCGTATTGACGTACTAAATGTGTATGAAATGTACTAGAAAAGTAGTACTAAAAATGGCAACTCTGTCTCGTCCTCGTCTCGTTACTCTCGGTCAGCATGTGTAGAAACTAGAAGCCGAATTCACCCCGAGGCTCCGAAGTAGCGCAGAGCGCAGCGGCATAGTTCAATTTAGTTTACTATATATTACTGTTCAGGCACATATGATTTCGTCCATAATAATCCATATACATGATTTTTTTTAGTGATTTATGACGTAAAAAAATAATAATAGTGAGCTGTGAACAGTGAACTGCTATTTCAATAATAAATATTATGTTTCTTCCTACCTCGACATAGATTCACTTGCTGACAAAAAAGATTTTCTCCACGATGAGAGATTCGAATTCAAAATTTAAGGTCATGGCAAGCAATCGATGAATCATCCTGATCCGTTTAGAAATTCGTATTTGATTAAAGTCACGTTCATGCAACTGATGAATTCTTGTGGTACAGCATGAATTTTTGATGCAAGATTCAGTCAAAACGACATGAGAATTAATTTCATTAGGAAAATGGAAAAAGGATACTGTGATAAGAGTGCAGCAGTTCTCAATTCGCTTCATCAACCAGATTGAGTAACGCATGACGCGAAAATAAAAACGTTGCATTGGGAACTCACCTTTATGATAACGGATACAGTCGAGACGCGAGACTCGAGAGGCGCCAGCCCTAACTTCAGTACTCGACTAAACAGGACAGGACTTTCTTATTTTTTTGGACTCAGCATTTGACGGATTTCCCATTTTTATGTTCATTTAATGATTTAATTAGCTGCCCCGGACGTTTTTTTCTCGTTATAACTCATTAGATTTACGAGTTTTTTTACAAATACAGGATGTTGCGCTCGTGATTTGATGATGCATGGTTATTCAATCATATTAATTCATGCAAATACATACATACATGCATTATATTTACGACGAGAGTGTCTGCCATTTTCGGACAATATTCTATATATATCGATACCCTAATGCTGACATGTCGTAACCCAACTCAATGAAAGTTTACAGGAGGAACGAAAAACGAATAATATTATGAGAACTAGAAAACGGACGTAACCCACAAAATAAATAAGTAAACACAGTTTGTTCGAATACATCGTAAACCACAACTTGGTTCCAACAGGCATATTATTGTATAAAAAAAAAAGGTTTTTGGTATTTTATATTAAAATACGAATACAAGATGCTTCTTTGACGCCGAGATAAAAAAAATGAATAATGCAGAGCACCATGTCAAACTAGTCAGCTGCTATCAACACGCTTTGCTTGTTTGAACTGCACTGTGGGATACGACTAGTTAGACGTGATATAAATGCCGTACGTGGGTTCAGACATGTTGGAAATCGCGGGAATCACCGATTTATCATTTTATTTGGGTTACGAGAACTTAACAGTATATAGAAATGCATGTCTACTTTCCTTTGGTGAAAAAATACTATTTTTCAATTTTTTGTGGGTTACGACTTATCAGCATTAGGGTATCGATATCCAGTGTTCATCCAGATCCAGTGTCACGATACAACAGGAGGTTGTGGCACTTATATACTTACACCCAGACAACACGACAGAATATTATATGAATTTTCTCACAACGTTCACTACATATACCTCCTACAGAATATTCCGAAGAACGTTCATAAACTATGATAAGGATGGTTCTGAATGTTCATAGAATGTTTTACGAGAAAATTCATAGAACATTTCATCCAAATATCCTAGGAACGTTCCTAGAATATTCCTTTATATTCTATATGAATGTTATTCAGGAATGATCATAGAATGAGATATAATTAGAATATTCTAGGCATGTTCTCCAGGTATGTTTATATATATATATATATATGTATAATAAATTATTTAGATATTCTGAGAAAGAGAAACACTTTTATTTCCTTATGGTCCTAATAACTTGCTTCGTTCTTGAGATACACGGAGTCAGAAAATATTTCGAATTAATCGATTTTTCATTGAGTATTCAAAGTCCTTTCTGATGATCTTGATGCCTATATTTGATGTGAAATTCTGATTTACAAAAATTTCGAGATGTTGAGTTAGAATTTTAAAATTTCGTGTTATAAGACAAACTTTTGAAGTTTTTATTCTTTTTATTTCTAGTGTTCCTTCTAGGGCTTCGTATATTTTCCTCCTATATCGATCCCTGAAATATTTTCCATGCCCTTTAAAGCAGCCTTCATAATAAGAACATTTCTAGATCATTCTGAGGATATTCTATATATATCCATAGAATGTTCTGAAAAATATTTTGAGATCGTTCTTGGAACGTGAATTTTCGTCCCATTTGCATGTTCCTAGAATATTCTCAGGACGTCCAGTGCACCTTGTGAAAACTCGAAATCTTCTGAGGAAATATTCTAAGAAGGTTCTCAGAATCACTTTGTGTTGTCTGGACTGAGATGTGCACAAGAAACGGCCAGCTTTCGAGATCGGATTTTGAAATTTGGTGGGTAGCAAATATACCAAATTGCTCAATAATTGACAAAACAATTTTTGTTCTATCGATCACTTCCAGTTTCACGGAAAACGACCCCAAAAGCGCATATCAGAATTGATATAAGATTCGTATCAGGCAGGCGGGAAAACTAATTCCTGTATCGGCTTTTTTTATGTTCTGGTTTCCACGAAAAGGAATATACTGTAATGTTCAGAGAACATCGTGAGAACCAAGGGAAATAAGGTAGGAATTGGTGTTTTTCTTAAATTTCTTGAGGTTATCTGCCTCGGGAAACACCTCCCTTGGCAATGTGTTCCAGAGTCTCGCAGTTCGTTGGATGAACGAGTCTTTGGAAAGAGATGTTCTGCAGGTCTCTAAAGTGACCACGAAGGGGTGCGAATAAGCCTCAACTCGACGGGTTAATCTCGCGAGGACTGCCAAGGGAGGAACTATTGTTGATATTTCAGAAGAGCATCTACCATGAAAATATCTATAAAATAGAGCCAGACCGCCAACTTTTCTACGGTGTTCCAGAGAAGTGAGTGAGTTTGTGCGCGAGCCATAACCCTCACCCACGAGACGAATTGCCCTTTTTTGGACAGAATCCAACAGTTTCAAGGTACGTTTGGGTGCTGCACTCAAAATATGGGAACAGTATTTCAGGACAGGTCGGATCTGTGCCATATAGATCATAAGCAGCTGACTGGAAGTGAAATAGCTCTCGGCCCGAAACAGAAAACCAAGTTTTTGGTATGTATATATATAAATATATTCCTATACTTGCTGCAAACGTTGTTTTTTTTTTATAGTTCAATAAAAATAAACTAAATATGATGAAAGTGTGTTTCTTTATTTCTTCAAACTACCATTTATTTTCTACTTCTATTTAGTTTGGCTATCTACAAAAACGTGCTTCATCAGTTTTTCTATCCGCCATCTTGGATTTCCTAATTTTGACAAAATAATCATATAATCTCCGATCCCGAATACTCTCGAATTTTGAATCGAATCGGATCACATATAATTAGAAAACTCGTTCGCCATATTGGATCCGTCGTCATCTTTGATTTCCAAATAGAATCATGATCTCCCGACCCCTAAAATAACCAGATACCAATTGCGAATAGAATTACAAAACTCGCCTGCCATTTTGTTTTTTGACTAACAAAAATTTTATGATGCATTGTCACCAGGATTATGTACATTTACCAAATTTCAAATCAATCGGACATTTTGAAGTGGGTCAAAATTTTTGACCCACTTCAAAATATCACGTATTCGAAGAATCCGTTACATATAAATCACCCTATTAAAAAAATAGGGGTTGGTGGTAGAAGGGTGAAAATTTAGGGTTGTACTTGTATGGTTTTTTTCAATGATGAAAACAAAACATTTTGCCAAACATATGAAACGAATATTTTGGGATGGACAGATTCTCAGACCTACCAAATACCAAATTTTCATTTATAATCTCCCTAAGCGAAATAATCACCGATATTTTTTTTTTCAAGGTGGTAATGAGATTTATAATTATAGTCATATTACCGATGAGATTGTAGTTAAATATGACGCTCTATATTTTTACAATAAAAGTTGATTTCACTTGTTAGTAACTAAGATTTATTACTAAAATTTCAGGAACATTGAAAACATTAATTCTTTTTCAACCCTTACATCTGATATTACATAATTACATGTCTAGATAATTTCGAAGGAATCTTAAAAAAACATTTCCGATGAGTTTTAATTAAATATTACGCACTATATTTTCACGATAGAAGTAGATAACATTCAATATAATATTTGGTGAAGGAGATTTTATGAAAATGAGAACCTATATTGGTTGGCACTTCGTTGCACTGGCAAAATGATCTAATTTGATAATTAACTATATTCCACCCTTCTTATTAGACCATAACCATTTCGGAAGTTTGAGCAGTTTTAGATGGAGTTCCACTAATGAAGTCATCATCAAAACAAACCTGAAAATAGACATCAAAATGTTATACATACAGTGAGAACCAAAAACCAAAAATTTTGCTTCAGATTTTTAGATTTTCTCTATCCCTTATCGCAATGGAGCTGTAGAGCTTTTCCACACTATACGTGGACGCCCGGTATATAACTTATAAAAAGGCATAATTCCATTCGAATTTCATTCAGTTCAATAGATACATTTATAAACCTTCAGCAGCACACTTTATCCAACATCTGATATCTTTCGGGTGTACACTGGTGGCCATTTTGGAAAATAGTCACCAAGGCCGCCATTTTGGAAAATGGTTACCAAGGCCACTAGGGGCCAGTTGGCCGACGACTCCACATCCAAATTCGTTAATATCATATCGGTCTACTTCTGTGCCAAATTTTTGGTGCCTTTCTCAAAAAATTCACAGTAGTTCGATCAGCTAATCTGCTGTACTATATAGAGATATATGATTTCAAATAGAAGTTTTGGTGATTCAGTCAGACAGACTATATGTATACAAGTACCCTATTTACTTTACTGTTAAGCCAAGCTTCCAACAATTTTTATTTTCTTCTTCAAGACTGAACAACAATATGGAATGTGAACATATTTAATATGAGTGGAATAATGCTATTGAACTATTGAATTTCGCTTTCTAGTATATCATTTTGAACCTCAAATTCAAGTGATTTTGAGTGAATGTCAAAAACTGGAAAAATGCCATCTGAAATAAGCAAGTTATAATTTCACTTTTCTCAAATAGGGTCAGCTCGATTACTTTGAAGTTATCAAGGAATCGGTATACCTACACTAACTCCAATACAATGTTTCAAGAATTTACCACTCTCAAAGTTGACATTTCGGTTAAATGGTCGAGAACCAGTACATTTACCCTGTCAAATAAAAAACATCTCACCCAGTGTGTTTGAACATTATTCCTAAGAAGTGGTGTATCAAAGGAAAATAAATCTTCCTCGGCGGCTAAGACTGGTTCATCATCATCAAAACTAATCAACCTCTCATCCACATCTTCATCGTCTCTCGAAATTATCACATCTTCGCGAGGATGAAGATTTATATTCATTCTATCCTCATTCTCGACTATCTCCAACTTCTGAAAATCGACTTGGGGCGATTCAGAGCCTAGTCTGCAAACCTCGTAGACGGCGTTGAAAGCATGGCCTACTGCGAGAGTGACGGTTTCAGCTGTTTTTCTCCTCGAGCATAGGAAAGCATGGCACTCAGTGATGTCGTTTTCATCGGTCGAACTGAAGGAGAATATCTGCCGGTGGGTGGGGTCAGTCGAACAATTGGATATTCTTAAAAATAAAGTATAATTATTGCAAATTGGTTGTGGTCTATTTGACAAATCATTGAAATTACTATTTGTGTATTTAGAGCGCAAAGTGATAAATTGCCGCTCGACAAAGAAAGTTAGTTAGGGTAATCTTTGGAGAGCGCGGCCATATAACACTTTGTGCTCGGAATACACACAAGATTTTTTCTACTAAGGCAGCTTTTGGAAATAACTACCCTGAAAGTATGAGCGATTGAAATAGTTGAAAAAGTTCTCATCCATATTATCCCATATGTCCAAGGGAAACAGAAAAAGAAAAATTGAAATGACTGACAAGCCAGAAAAGAATGTCGGGCCTACCGAGAATCGAAACTGGACCACCAGCGTGGCAACCTGAGCTTCAGACCTCTGAGCTATAGTACGATAAACTCTGCAATCAAATTGAACATTACTCATTGATGCAATAAAAATAAAGATACACTGTCTTTCTGATGACAATTAACAAAGAGTTTAAATTTGGTTTAAATATAAAGTATATCATCGTTTTCAACAGATATGCTTCATCGGGAGCTTCTTGTAGAAATTTGTTGGTATATATTTTCAGAGATGAATGTTTTGGATTTTTCTCGCTTTATATCCAATAGATTGTTTCTTGAGAAATGCGATAAGTTTCAGATACTTATTGATTCCGATCGATATTACCTTTAACATTCAAGCATGTATACGTAACATCGAATATATAGACCAATGAGTTGATGACTTCAAGGTCTTTGATTTTTTACCAAAATAAGCCAGTAAAACGTTTTCTGAATGCATATTCACCATCTATATTCACCATCTATATTCACCATCTCGTAGTGGCACCAATTTATGAATGTATCATATTGTAATTCATATTTCTTCCTTGATTCCTCCGATTCAAACTCTTGCGCTTTCTGCTATATCATCAGGAGGTGTGTTTGATGATTCACTGTCACTATTTTCCATCATGAAACAATTGGGAGATTTCAAGAATAGATAAGTATAGGTTACAGAGATGTGCGAGCGTTTTTTCAATATTTCCGCTCACGAGCGCAAATACTGTCAAAGAATGACATTTCTGGGAAAACGTCAACTTTGTGCTGGAAATTGAAAGCGTCAAAGGATACTTTGTTAAGCGTTTGTAGAAAACCGTATTTTACCTCACTTTTACTCATGTTTTGGGATGTACGGACCTTGTACCAAACCTAATTTTTCGAATTAGGCAATCCAATGACCTGTCAAATCAAAAGTACAAGTCATATAATCGAAGGAAATCACGAACAGTAACAATTTAATTGTTTTCCTAACATAATTCTATTAATTTTTTATATGGTGCCAACCAGGTGCCATATTGATCCTAACCTGAAGTTGGATTGCCTGATCAATGTCGGCTAAATGAGAAAGGAATCTATAGTCAGCTTTGTAAAATACTGTTTATGATATTCCTTGTTGAGGAATGATAATATTGATAATATCTACGAATGTGACTCAGAACTCAGGAGACAGGTTTCATAAGATGCCTTCATTTTCAATACGGTGTGCCTATAAAAAGGATGAACAGCATGGGGAACCCAGTAACCGTTATTATATAGGTATATGGATTTTTTTTGAACGTCATTTTGTAGAGGCAAAAAAGTGGCAAGAACAAATTCTAGTGTCACTTGTCATTATAATCACAAGTTATTTATTCCTTCATAATTCCGTATAAGAAACTTCACAAATGATTAGATTTCCACAAAATTCCCAACACACATTTTTTGCTAACACGTTAGCTCGACCATTAGCTTCTTAAAGTGAAATATTCATACAATAATTCATTTCTTCAATAGTGACAGTCATATTCCAGTTCCACAAGAACTATAGTGATTGAAAAATATATTGCTATAGTGATGAAAAAAATTCAATATATGGTATAGTAAAGAATAATATTACCACGAGACCCGACGAGACCTTATACCACTTGGCTGAAGCCTCGGGATATAATTTTGGTTCCTGGGTAATACTGATATACTAACTATTTTCTACTCCCGTATTATAATAATGGGCGTGTACACCTTAGTAGAACTTTTAACTCAAACCATGTTTATAATGATCCTTTTATACATAAATAATGATTGACGACATAATTCGATCGAAAAATTAACTGGATTGTTTTATTTTTGCACATAAATAATAGTACCTTCTGAAAACGGACCCTTTTATGACGTAGAAACCTCATCTCGCCATAGTTAAAAGAAAATATCAAACGCCCGACGGAGACTGAGGCAACTGATATATTAATTCTTTCAACTGTGATCTCGCACTATATCACTCTGTCAGAAATCATGTATCATTCATCTCTGTCTGGAATAGTCTTGTTTGAGTATTAGGGTTTTGACGTCACATCATCGCCTCGTTTTCAGAGGTCCGAAAAATCGGGGATTTCAATAATTTTTCATAAAACATAGGGAGCTCACAGCAAGAAACGGTTTGCAATGGTGAGCTATAGTTTGGGTGAGTTCTATCGAATTATGAAATAAAAATGTTTTGTGATATAAGCCCATTCGCGGATTGAATATCTGCTATCGATTTCTTGATATTATTGTTTATTTTAACACGGATTTTCATTATGATTCAGATTTTGACTAATGACACAAATAAATAAGCTATACAGGGTGTTAGTTAATTGAGTGCCGATAATAAAAGGTGTGAATCACCGGGTGATTTTGAGGAGAACAGTTCGAATCAAGATATGTCCTAAAGCACTCAGTTTTTGAGCTACAGGGTCTTACAATTTCAAGAAAACAGTGTGTGTTCTTATCATAATTTTTTATCACTACCAGATATTTCCATGAAATTTTTGTACGCACCTTTTCCCCATCATCGAGCAGTTTTTAATGTGAAAGAATTTTGAAAATTTTCACCAGTGTCACCCGTACGGGGTTTGAACTGACAATTTTTGAAGAAAAAAATTATTTTTAGAATATCCATTTATTTAGGAGAAAATTTGGTTATCAAACTTACTTTCATACGACGTGCCGTTTTCGCTTAAAAAAATTAAAACCAAAAACTTTGTTTCCTTCAGTTTTTTGAAATTGTTTAGTATAGGTACTCACTAGGAGTGAAAACCCATTTTGTTTTGGGACGAGAGTCAATTTTCAACTTTTACCAGTGATGTTCACGTATAGGCCTGATATTGAATGTTTTATTGATTTTAATAAAAAACTGTACGCCTATGATTTCAACACCCTGTAGCTCAAAAACTGAGAGGATTAGGACATTTGTTGATATATGAACGTTTCTCCTTAAAATCACCCGAGGATTCACACCTTGTGCACTCAATTAATGAAGTATAATACAAAATCAAAAAATTCAATTGTGGAATTGTGGATCAGCATAAATCGAGCATCATTTTCGAAATCTACTGGACATAATGTTCAAATTCCAATCAGCCCTTGTGGTCAGTAATTTCTGCAGAAATATGAGCAGAAATAGTCTCAACTGTTCAATGATAAGTTTCCTACCTATACTGTTTTCATTCGGGGGGAGAGAAGAGAAATGAATTATCACATCACGTTTTATGCTTTTAATAGAGATACCTATCTGTGGAATATCTAAGTCTAATTTAATGTTATTTAATTCTGAAAATCATTGTCTGATAAATATGGAGAAAAAATCTAGTGAGCTGTAGTATCTCGTCTGCTCAAACAATGGAAATCACCTACAGGTTTCTGTGGCCGATACCGTAGTGCCGCCATACGGCCAACTCAGGGAAACACTCATTTAAATTGTTTTCCTGTCAAACCTACATAACCTGGAATATCTTAAACGAGTGGAGCAGCTCCATCAGCGGTGCTCTCGGCATTCTCGGCCTGCCGCGTAGTTTGTTGTTCAGTTAGTTTGAGTTCAGAATGACGACATATAGTCACGGGTCACGGTCACTCAGTCATTCAAAAATTCAAAAAAATCATTCCTTCTCAAAATGGTTGCTACAGATAATACAATAGTCTCCAATTGCGTAAACTTATGGATCATTAGCTTTTGAACAGGGCTCTGATTATCTCACTTGTAATGAGCCTGTAACATCATATCGAATGAATTCACTGATGTCGCAGAAGGATATAGGTATCACTTGGAAATCTATGAATGGAGACGGTTTCACACTTTCTGGTAGGCACAATTGAGAGACAGAGTTTGTAACAAATTATCAATCAGAATAAACTATAATACTGAAAGCACAATACAAAACTATATCTATAAATGAAAGGAATATTAGAACAATGAGAATTGAAGAAGGAATATTGTTTTCAAGAAAAATACAATACAAAAGTCACGATGGCACGACGGCTTTTGACACTGACAACTTTTACAGAACCACAAATTTCGAAAATTTTCTAGAAAAAAGTGAAGATCATTCCGGTCGATACGGTAACATCCTCTGGTGGACATACACTCAACTGAGCTATCAGACCAGTAAATAACTACAGCTCACTAGATTTTTTCTCCATATTTAGCAGACAATGCTGAAAATAATTACCTATAAATGGATATTTTTAAAACATAATTTCCTTGCATATCTGTGACTTCAATTCCTTGAAGGGAAATCATTACGTTAACCCTTTGTAGCTTCTTCCTTCCTTTAGCTGCTTTTGTCGTTTTTAAAATATTTTTGACAGCTTCTGTGGTGATACTGTTCTCTGCCTTCTTTTCAACAACTGTGCTACCTGGAAAAATATGACTGCAAACATACATGTTATTCATCAGAGATGTGATTAGGAAATTATGATAGTGAGAATAATACGAATTTTGTGTTTCAAAATACCATACCAAATGGCATCAAACAGAAGAAATTGAGGATTTGAATTTTCGTGAAAATGTGATAGACTCTGTTCGTATTGGACTGGGTAACGCCTAATCGAAAATTCTATAATATGCTACTCAACGACCTCTAATCGAAAATGTAGACCAATTTGAAATATTCAGATTTTCAAGGCCTACTTTTGTTTGTTGAAGAGGTCAAAATTGCAAAAACGACTATTAGGCAATTTTTTTTCGAAACAGTGACTAGTCTATTCCATTCAGGCATAGCTGAAATACCCCTATACGAAATTTGAAGGCAAAATCTCATACAGGGTGTTAGTTATTCAATGGCAAATTTTGATATTTTTGATTTTTCGATTCACCCTGTAACAAAATTTGAGGAGTTGGTATAACCGGTGAAAAAGTTATTCAATAGAGGAACACATCGAAGCATAGGTACGAAGTTTCATTGCTGTAACTTCTACAGGAAGATCTCTCTAGATCAATCAAAAATCAATAAAGCTAAAGTTGAGATTCACCATTCTGAAAACTCGAGTAAACCGTATTTCACACACTACACCACACAGTCACGCTGAAAATCATCTTGTTTGATGAAGAGCTGTCGAATATAACACAAATATAATGACAGACAAATACTCTTTAAAGACTGCTAGGAGATATAGGTACTGATGTTTGATGTGATCATAATAATATATCGATTTTGGAATGAAAATTTGAGATGACAATGAAAATTTTTATGTATAGAGAATATTTCCCCAGATTAGTCACCATTATCTTCATCTCCTAGGAAAAATTTATGGATCATAATAAAAAAAAATCGATTTCAATTTCATTAATTATATTGGTTGACCTAGAGATATCTTCCTGTAGAAGTTAAAGCGATGAAACTTCGTACCTATGTATTCGATGTGTTCCTCTGTTGAATAACTACTTCACTGGTTCTATCAATTCCTTAGATTTTGATACAGGGTGAATCGAAAAATCAAAAATATCAAAATTCGCCATTGAATAACTAACACCCTATATGAGATCTTGCGTTCAAATTCCGTATAGAGGTATTTCAGCTATACCTGAATCAAATAGGCTGGTCACTATTTCGAAAAAAAAATGCCTAATAGTCGTTTTTGAAATCTTGAACCTTTCAACAAACAAAAGTAGGCCTTGGAAATCTGAATATTTCAAATTTGTCCACATTTTCGAATAGAGTTCGTTGAGTGCTATATTATGGAATTTTTGTTTTTGAAAATCGGTCGACGAGTTCCAAATTAGGAGGGTGGTGCGGGTTGAAATCGCACACACTGTATATTATATTATACATACTAATATTGATTTTATTGGCACCTTATCCAAAGACACGCGTTGCCAATGCTCATATGAATAACCACTCACCAAGGTACTTCAATTTGAAAGTTACCACATCATTTTCACAACTGAAATTTTCATTTGGTTCCGTTTCCATTTTGGAGTTTTGAAGAGCCAGTTCCTCGGATAATTCTGAAAAATGATAAAATACCTACTATACATGAAGAATAATACTAAGCTGATTATAAGATAATAATAAACAAATTATCAGGGTCGTCTCGAACCTATGCGATGGGATGGTACAGGGTGGCTGAAATTCGTGCCTCATCATTGGGATATGGGATCTCGTAAACCGTAAGAGATACAAGGTCGGTCAAATTATGGAAAAGTTGCGCAATTCCATGTCTAACTGAATGCCCATTTGGAACATGGAAAATTTCGAATATTTTCAAAGAAGAACCGTAACCGCGAAGTGAATTGTAAGATAAAAGGCAATTCTTTCTCAGAGACGGTTTTAATGGCTTATTCTTCTGAACTAGCACAACAGAAGCCATCAACAGTGTATGTATACCTATTTATATAAAGTGCTCACTTTTTCTCCGGTGGAAGAATAGTAATTTATGAAAAGTTGCATTTTATAACCTGTCAACAGAGATGAAATGTCAAACTTTTTTCCCGTCACAGGAAAAATAGTTATTTATTATACAAGGGAAAAAAATAGCAGATTTTAGCTCCAGGTTGTGTTGTCTCCCGACGCATAGCGGAGGGAGACAAAAAACCGTGAGCTAAAATCTGATATTTTTCCCGTGTATAATACACCTCTTTTTTCTGTGACAGAAGGAAGGACGAATCAATATTGAGAAGATATTACATTATTTTGAAATCTGAAAACTATCAAATTTGAAGTTTTTAACAGTAGGGACACCTGCGTTGTAGGCATCTTTATCATTCTTTTGAAGTAATCAAATATCTGATGTCACTTCTGTCAGTCTAATTCTGTGATTTGATTTCAAAGAATTGCGAATTCAGTGGTTGTTTAGTAATATACATAACCGCGAAGTCGAATGGAAGATAAGGACTTGCAGTTCTTTCTCGGAGACGGTATTATTGACTCATTTTTTGGAACTATAGCACAACAAGTGCCATCAACAGTGTATATATATGTGATATGTATCCGGGAAAAAAGTACTCACTTTTTTCTCACGGGAAAAAAGTAATTTATGAAAAGTGACATTTTATAACCTGCCAACAGAGATGAAATGCCAAACTTTTTTCTCGTCACAGAAAAAAATCTTTATTTGCTTCATCCAATTGCGAACAGGAGAGAAACATTCTAAAAGTATCCAATGCATCGTAATATGACTGAATTTCTATCAGAATAAGATTTCTGAGATCAGAGGCACTCTGCGTCAAAGTCAACCATAACATCCTCAAAAACGAATTGTTTAGAATTGGTATTGAGAGACATGCCCTGAAATGGATGTTATTTTATTGTAAATGATATCGTAATCAAAGCGTGCCCATCTGTACATTTTACAATGTATGTGGACAAAAGGACAATACATCCATACTCATTTCGGAAAAATCTAATTATTCCTTTGAGGTAAAATATAATGAAGTTCTTTCAAGACTGTATGATTGGTTCTATATGAATTCACTTCATCTAAATGTAGACAAAACACAGTCGATACATTTTCATTAAAAACAAAAACAAGTATTCCAACCAAACATAAAAAACATATATAACATATATAACAAATAAGTGTTGGAAAATGTGTCATGCGTTAGGTTTCTAGGCCTATATACATTGATGAGTGTCTTGACTGGAGTTAACTGTGTTAATCGGTAATTTCAAAACTCAACTCCGTCATCTATCTTTTCAGAAACATGAGATCAGTTTTGACGGAGGAACAATAATTGATAATGTTATCTTATCATCCACTTGTTTTGATGATGTGTTCATCTCGCAGAAAAAATTTATTCAATGTATCGCTGGTGTCTCTCGTACCACTAGTTGTCAAAGTTTTTTACGAATCTTATGAACTCTTAACTTTACCGTGTTTGTATATATTTGAAGAATGTGTTCTTATATTTTCTAGCATAATCTCCTTTAGAACTAACAAACAAATTCATTCGATCAACACAAGACAAGACAACCTAACCTAACCTGACCTACATGTGCCATTTTCAAGAACTATTCTTTTATATACATAGATCATCTACTGTGACTGGGCAAAGACTGTTTGTTCAATAAAATCATGTGTTACATTGAGATCATTCAAGCAATGTTTTAGAAAATACCTAATAAAGGGTGGATTTTACTCCTGACTTAGATGAATTTTTGATTTTGAAGCCTTAGTCTTAGGGTCTTAGTTCTCTTTTAGTAGTCAGCTTTAGCTTTAGTAATCGTCTTTGAAAAATTCTATACAAGTTTCTGCATGTAACAAAGATAATAAAGTATTATATTATTATTTTTATTATTTTAATTATACTGTAACGATTCCACTTCACACCCTGAGAGAACTTAGTTTTGTTGATTTTTCCTTATCATTATACTGAGATGTTTATAAGTTGACATTATACCTATAGTTATCCCTGAAGTCAACAAAACATAACATCTACTATCGGAAAAAAGTGTTTGTACTTTCAAAGTTGGTCAGAAACTGGAATAATAAAGGGGGGTACATGAACAAAACTACAAACAATTGAATTCTGAGATCAATAACTGACCAATGATAACCATTTGTTTTCCAATATATTTATACATTCCCAGTATTACGATATCTGCTATGCCAATGTGCGTATAAAGGAATATTCCATTTCGGAATTTCAGGAAATATTTTCTTCATATCATTTGATATCGATTTACATCACCGAATGATGTGTCTATGAGTGAATCTATAGTCTCCTATATATGAGCCTTGCAATTATCTATAAATGTTATCATCGTGTGGTGATTGTGGATCTGGAATATAAACATAATTTTATCGATTGGGAAATCAAAATAATGAAATCAAAATATTTGCATTTTGTAACATCGATGTTATTTTCTGTAATTGATATTTTAATGACGCTCAAGGTAATAATGATATTCTTCACTACTTTGCTCTATAAATAACTGTTTTATTGTTATCAACTATTATTCAGAACCTAGATATGAACTGAATAATAACTTGAAAAAATCAATGTCACTTAAGTACTTCCACCCCCTTTTTTCAGCAGCCACTGGCAAAAAACACCTAATTACAAAAAAACATCAAAAGCAGACCTCCTAAATGATTTCATCGAGTATGCCCTCCTCAAGTTTGAGTTACCTACAGCATTCAACCTCCGTCATCGAGTTGATCAAATTTCTCAAGCACTATTGAGGAATCCAAAGATGCCCAGGAGAAAGCAAACATTTTTGCGCATTTATTTGCTGGAAATTTCACTGTGGATTCATCGGGAAAACAACCTCCAAACATAACGCCATAATTGACAGTCATATGCCCGAGATCACCTTTCACCAACGTACTATAAGGAAGATATTATTGGGTCTCAACACCGACAAAGCTTATGGCTCCGACGGAATCCCACCGATTGTTCTCAAGAAATGTGCTTTCAAACTGAATACTCTGCAGGTTGTTCAACTACTCTTACAAATTGGAGATATTCCCGTCCAACTGGAAAATTGCAAGAGTACAACCAGTACCTAAAAAAGGCAAAAAGACCTAGCAACTACAGACCGATCGCACTGCTATCTATTATTTCAAAGATCATGGAGGAAGCTATCAACATCGAGCTCATGAAATACCTGGAACATTCAGGTATTATCAACGAAAGGCAATATGGCTTCCGTCATGTATCAGAGATCAACTGGTGACCTGCTCGCTTACGTCGCACATATATGGCAGCAATCTATTGAAAAATATGGTGAAACCTTAGCCGTGGCACTTGATATCTCCAAGGCATTCGATCGAGTCTGGCACCACGGACTCCTCGCCCAGCTTCCATCTTATGGCTGGTCTCCCCAGTTATGTTCTCTGCTAGCTAGTTTTCTCTCAAACAGGTCTCTTTATGTAGTGGTCGACGGAGTTTCATCTGACTCTCTTGTCATAAATGCTGGTGTTCCGCAAAGATCGATTCTAGCACCAGCACTATTTCTACTCCATATCAACGATCTGTTGGAAGCAACTTCATGTCCAGTACACAGCTTCCAGTATGATAGTCCCCTCCATACCACCTTCTCTTCGAAGGCTCCAATACCAGTTAGGCAAATCAGAAACAAACGAGGAAGAAATGTTGACAACATAAATATGGACTTTGTAACAATTCTCGAATGGGGATCCAATAACTTGGTAGATTTCAATGTAAACAAAACACAAGCATGTGTTTTCTCTAGAAAAGCCGATCTGACTGTGCCCAACATAAGCTTGTCGAGAGTAACCATACCTTTGAAGACATCCATTTCGATGCTTGGTATTACTATCAGCAATAACCTTCCTTGGGAAAAACACGTGAGATCAATTGCTAGAAGTGCATCCCAAAAATTTAGTTTTCTGTTTCGGGCCAGGAGCTTTTTCAATTCCAGTCAGCTGCTTATGATCAATAAGGCACAGATCCGACCTGTCCTGGAATACTGTTTCCATTTGGAGTGCAGCACCCAAACATACCCTGAAACTCACTTCTCTGGAACACCGAAGGAAATTTGGCGATCTGGCTCTATTTTATAGATATTTCCATGGACGATGCTCTCCTGAAATATCAACAATTGTTCCTCCCTTGGCAGTCCCCCGCGAGATTAACCCGTCGAGTTGAGGCTTCGCACCTCTTCGTGGTTACTTTGGAGACCTGCAGAACATCTCTTTCCTTTATCAAACGAACTGCGAGGCCCTGGAACACAATACTATGATTTTGACGTGAATCGAGAACCATTGTGCTGAGAAGAGACGAAAAGGGATCACACTTCAATCAAAAACATGACAGAAGGTTGGAGAATTGTCCAAAAAATATGGTTAAAGAAATTGAAAAATGTCATAATTTCTTTAAACACCTGTATCTTCGCCCAGAAAAAAGATAATAACGTGAATCAGAATCCATTGTGTTGAGAAGGGAACACACTTCAATCCAAAACATGATGAAGCTAAGTTCAACCACTCACCTTTAAATAATAAACGAGCCATCAACTCATTTCAAGAATTAAAATTCAGGCT